AATTAACAACTAAAATTCAATCGCTACTTAAAATTTCGTCTATTTAAAAATATATACCTTCAACTTGTAATTAGAAAAATATAAATTAACGATTAAATCTTAATTCTTAATTGGAGGAAATCTCGAATAAGGAATAAGTTTGGATTTTTAATTAAAATAAATTCGAATTAACGATTAATTTTTAATTGTCAGTACGATAATTAATAGATTTGCTACCCTGTTTCGCTCACAATTCTTCTTTCTTTATCAGCGGATTCGATGACTTACGAAGGAACAAGAACCGTGAGTTATAATGAATTGTTGAAGTTATCCGAGAGCGAGGTAAACGACAATCTGGAAGTTGAAGAAGATCCCGAAGAGACTGCCATCATCCTGTACACCTCCGGAAGTACGGGCACGCCAAAAGGTAATTAATCCATTTGTGAGCCTATCGGATCTTTTTAACAATAATAAATATTTGTGGAAGCCAAATACAGTAAGACCTACTTAACGTGGGGAATACGTTCCAATAAGTTCCAGCGCTAAACGAAACAGCATTAAACGAGAAGGAATGGGGATAAATGAAACAGAACACAGAATAAGAAAATTTATGAAATTTATTTTTGGTCTTTCAATATACATATACATGTATGTATTTGCATTTTGCATTTAACACTCTCATCACACTTCAATATCATGCGCATACTCTCACAAATAATAATACTCAGCCCGGGTTTCATAAGAAATCGACCGCAAGTTTATTGGATTATATTTTCAAAACAATAGGCTCAATATTCCGTCTATTATTCCAACTTCGCGGAGACACATACTATTAAATTCTTGATGAGTAACATGACCGTCAATCACATCCGAAACTAATCTCTTTTGCTTAATACGAACGATGACGCATGCCACTCATGCGTATCCTTCGTTGTAAGTACTTGTATTTTTAACAACTTAGAATCACTCGGTACATGTCAAACACGACACATGAAAATTATAAATAATGCGTGTTTCATTTTCGTTCGTTGTTTTCATTGTAACAGGAGTACTTTTGTCACACACGACCGTGTTGAACCGATTACAATGGTATTGGCAAGAGCTGCCGTACGCTGTGGACGAGGACCACTGCGTCTTCAAAACGTCATTGATATTCGTAGACAGTGTTACCGAAATTTGGGGCTCGTTGTTGCAAGGACGTACCTTAGTAGTCGTTCCTAGACACATTACTAAAAACCCGAAGAGGTTTGTCGCTCTATTGGAAAAGTATAAAGTAAGTCTGATTAAGAACGTTGATTTTGAATCGATTTTTGACGTCTACGATTCGTAATGATTTCAGATTCAACGATTGATGCTGGTCCCGACCCTCTTACAGTCTATACTCATGTACTTCAGTTTGCGGGTGAGCGTTAACGTTAATTACACACGAGCGATTGCAAATCTTAATATAATATTAATACATATCTTAATACATATATGCATTGATGAAACTAATACTAATTCAACACTAAATGTTTTTATTATTTAATTATTTTATTTTTTTATTTAATTATTTTTCACAGATGTCTTATGTTTTAATTGTGCCCGATTTTCCTTTGAGATATTTATTCCGCTGGATATGTTTATCATTCTCTTCATGCTTCTAAGCGAATTTTTTAATAGTCTGGGTGGCTCGTTTCAGTGCAAGGACAACGTGCTTCGCTCGCTGAAACTTTGGATATGTACTGGCGAAACGTTATCGATTTCGTTGGCTGAAGAATTTTTCACTACGTTCGAGAATTCCAACAAAATTCTGGCTAATTTTTACGGTACTACCGAAATTGGCGACGTTGTATATCACCTGCTGAGTGATCGAAGGCAGCTACAGTCAGCGGAGAAAGTGCCCATCGGTAAGGGTCAAAGATACACGCAGACAGAACAGGTCGCGATATAATAGACTGATTAGTAAACTGAAATTGTTTAATGTAAAGAGATATAAAGTACTTGATAAACCAGTATTGAAAGGAGATAGAAAAAGTTCGGAATTTCAGTTTCTCAGTCTGCTAACTAGTCTGCTGCATCATGACGATACTGTGAGTCAGCTAGATCGCGACCGCAAGGGGAATTTTTTTCGAAAATGTAATGGATTCCGAAATGTTCCTAAAACTTCAAACAATTTAGAGGCAGAATTATTGTAAACTATTTACCTATATGTTATTGAAGAATTCTCAATTGCTCACGTAGTGATACAGGCTAATAAATTAATTTTGTCCAGACTTATTTTAATGTTAAGCAATAACTACTATTATATTCGGTTATATTACGTAATACAAAGTGACGCTCTCTCTTTCTAAACGCTCACGATCAACATGACTTTCTCAACCGACAACGATGAAGAGCCTACATGCCCCCTTTTTCATACTATAACACATCGACATTCGAATATATATACAAGTAGCGTAAATAATTAATTCTTAATAGTACATTAGTTAATCCTCCAATAAGGAACCAAGAATCTTCCATTAAACCTTCAATTCTTGTAGTCTGGTTAACATCAAGGTTCTCTGTTCTTCACACACAATCCATCTCGGCTGCTGATTGCAGGAAAGCCTTTAGACAATTCCATTATTTATATCGTGAACGAAGGAATGCAACCAGTTCCGCAAGGGGAATTGGGCGAGATGATAGTAGCCGGAAGGAACCTCGCCACGGGTTATATTCATGACCCCGAGTCTCAGAAGTTCCAGGCCAACCCCTTCACCACTGATTCAAGTAAGACGACCTTTCAATAATGGTAATGAAAGTCATATCAATATCAATTATAAAATTTCAAATGGGACACTCTATCTTTTATCCCAAATTTCGTAAGAAAAACAAATTGTTAAAAATGAAAAAAATATAAACAGCAAAATGCATACTATGATGTTTAAACGATTAAAGGCCATTGTTACTAAGTCTCTCTTCTTACATTAGTATTCAAGAAGTTTTATTTTGCATACAAATCTGCAATCTACTCATTGTCTAATAGATGCCCTGATCCCCTTTGCTTTTATCGAACTGGGGTTTTAACTTTTATAAAATTCAAAAGGCAAATTTCATTCAAACATGTACGGTCCTTTGAACAGACTACTCCAGGATTTATCGGACCGGCGACTATGCTAGGATAATAAACGGCGTGATCATATACGAGGGTCGCTTGGATTCGCAAATCAAAGTCAGAGGACACCGCGTGGATCTTACGGAAGTGGAGAAAATGGTTTCCAAAGCACCTGGCGTCAGCAAAGTCGTCGCTCTTTGCCACAAACCCGGCGAGTTATCGCAGGTACCAGCAGACATTTTCCTTCTTTCCATTCTAAGTATTGTTCTAAATAGGCACGAATCTCGACTTATCGAAACTCTTTAGGCGCTGATAGCTTTCGTAACCATTGCGGACAATTCATCCACCTGTGAGTTGGAAATTAAGACGTTCCTACAGACCATGTTACCCGTGTACATGATGCCACGAGTCGTAATCGTCGACGATATACCGCTGTTAACGAACGGAAAGATCGATCGTCAGGCGCTGTTGAAGCATTTTGAAACTGCTAATACACGCAACGGTAAAAAACTTTAATACTTGTAAAACTATACAAGTAGGTTCTACTGTATCCTTCTTATTTTTTTATCTAGAGGACGATCACAATATGGTCTGCGACTACACAGGAGTACCTGAAAGAGATTTAGAAAAAGCAAAAGTATTGTTTCCTACTGTGGCATCTGCGATCGGAAATGCTGATATCGTGAGAATCGATTCCAATTTCTACGAACTGGGCGGCAACTCTTTGAACTCGGTGCACACGGTAATGAAGCTGTGGAATCAAGGGTACAAAATAAGCATCACCCAGTTCGTTACTGCAAAGAGTCTAAGTGAGATAATTGATCGAATGATCAAAATAAAAATGGACGACAAGGTTTCCGATAGTTGGGATTTCGACGAGGACGAGATCGTCTACGAAATGATAAATGATTCGCATCAAGCGGACGCGATAAAGTACGTGAACTTCACACTTTTAACAAAATGTAGGCAGACTGGCATAAGATGCAGATCGGTTTCCAACAGAGATGAGGAGGGACATTGATCATCTCTTTGTTGGAAAGTGGACACGATTCGATCCTCTGCTAAAATTGTTTAAAAATATTTTAACAATTAGTAGGCAATGTTCCTTTCGTGACGATCCATTGCTTTGATCGTGGTATCGTAATAAAAAATCCAAGCCTTGTTATTTTTTACGTTTCTCAATTTAAAAATATTGTTTAAATACTGAACTTCACTTAATAA